TTATAGAGAGAAAGTTAGCAAGAATCATTGTTTTGAAAGGATTCTTAAGCGTTAATAGTTTTAGAGGTAAAAAAAGTTTAAAGGCCTTTGACCTTGTATAGTCTCATCTATTTGTAGCAAATCCCTTCACTAGGTTGAGCATCTTGAGAAAACTCTTGCAATTGATTAGTTTGAACTTTGTATTGATATATCTACCTACTTAGAGGTCTCTTGCTATACATGCATTATCTTGTGTGCAGGTAAGTGTTTAATTTTAAACACTTTTAAGGTCTTGTTAGCACCAAGAAAAAAGCCCAACTACAAGGTATTGTAGGCACCTATAAGCCCTATTGCATTGTTGGCTCCCACAAGTCTTACTGGTTAGATATTACAGGCATTTGTAAGTCATGCTAGAAAAGGTATTGCAAGACCTGGGAGTTTTTCTAGTTGTAAAGGCTTTGCTAGCACCCATAAAGTCCAACTACTTAGTGGAAATCCTCAGGGTTGGCCTGAGGTAGAAGATATAGGTAGGGGTTTCTATCAAATCTCTATATTTGCTTTGTCTTTCTTTATCTTGCTTCAAGTTTTTGTAGTTTACATGCTACTAATCCTACTTACATCTCTTGATAACCGTTGTAAAACTTGACATCTATTTTTTTGCTTTTTTAACCTTAATATATACTTTTCCATAAAATTGTTTCACTTTCTATGTTTTTTACAATTTATGTTTGTAGCTGAAATGTATACCTCTATTTAATTTTTTATCATTTTGTATATTTTTTTGCAATTTATGTTGTTTTATATGAATATGTTTTATTTTCTGTTTTTTTTTTAGTTGGATATCACTTTCTATGTTTTTTACAATTTATGTTTGTAGCTGAAATGTATACCTCTATTTAATTTTTTATCATTGTGTATGTTTTTTTTTTTTGCAATTTATGTTGTTTTATATGAAATATGTTTTATTTTCTGATTTTTTTTAGTTGGATATATATTTTTAGAATTATATCATTTTGAGGTATTTTCGTTCTTTGAAATGTATACATTTTCTTTTTTTATGTTTTTTAGTTGAAATATATTATTTTCTGATTTTTGGTGCACCATATGTTTTTCTAGTTTTCATTGATGTCTATGTTGGTCAATTTCAGGTATATAGGTTGGCCCAACCCAATTTTATCTCAAAGCTTGTTTTCCTAAATTATGATTGGTTTGGATATGTGGGTTTACACAACTCGATACCATGTACAATAATGATAAGGAAAAAAAATTGATTTGCAAGGACATGGGTTGACCCCTACTATTTAGAAATTGACTTAAAGTACCCCCAACTTTATGACAATTGACTAAATCTTTCTACCGTTAGCTCCATTAATGAAAAGGTGGAAAAAGACTATTTTATCTATCATTCTTCTTTAAATTTTCAAATTGAAGCATTTGAAAAATTTTAAATTAACTAATTTCGATTTTACTCTCCATTATTCTTCGAATTTTCAAATATGCAAACCCAATCTCTAAGTCCTAACTCTCACTTTTCTCTCCATCTCCATACTTTGTTGCATTGAATGAAAGTTACAAACATATATTTCAAATTTCCAAACTGAATCTCTATGTCTCAACTCTTGTTGTCTCACTCCATTTTCGTGCTTTGTTGCAACAAATGAAAGCTAGACATAGATTTGAGACTCTAGACAAAGGTTTTTTCTTATTTGTTCTTTTACTTGTTTTCTATATTTCCTTATTTTATATATCTCTTTGTAGCTAAGCCACTCTCCAATAGCTATTAATGGTTTTTTTGTGGGAACAAAATATCTTTTCTTAGCAAATAGTCAATGAGATATGTCCCTAGAGGAAGCTTTATCTCATCCCAACTTCCTAGTAATAAGAAGCTATTGGGCAATAATTGGATGTAGGTTTTAGTTTAAACATATGAGCTAATATTAAAACCTCATTATTCCAAGCTTCAAAGTTATTGGTCCATAATGAACTCTAATAGAAAGACACCTTATTGACCTCCAAAATAGAAAGTGGAATCTGAACCTCATTGGTAATGTCTTTTGCCATTGCAGATGGGTATCCTCAAAATAAAATTTCCATAAAAACTTTCGGAGAAGTACGGACAGGCCCAATGCAGATTTCTGATTTCCATTGCAGATCTATAAACATTCAAAATGTCAAAAACCCCCACTCTACACATATCAATCCCAAGATGGCACTGACCCAAACTATACTTTGGGCCTAAAAATTCTGACCTTGTGCTGAATCATCATTCCCCCTAAAAACTTTGGATTAGGACTAGCTTGACAAACTTTTATGGGGTCCTAATCATAAAGAAAACTTCATTGTGGAGCATGGTTTTGAAAACCAAACCGGAAATTAAACCACTTTGACCACTAGTTTCTAGGCCAAATGGTCTGACCATTTGGTCTAAAGTTTGCTATGGGACCTGGAACCATGACTGATTCTCAGGTCAACCAGTCCAATCATCCGGTCTGGTTTGGTTTTCAAAACCCTGTTGTAGAGTCTATGTATAAGGTAACCAAGGATGCTTTTAACAAGTTAAAATATGATCAGGTTGTTCGGCTAGGATGATCCTTGTCCCCTTAAAATTGAAAGATTTTCAGCATTGAAGTGTCTGATCATTTGAAAGAAACTTATGTGAACAAAGAAATATGATAATTTTATTCTTCAAAATTGAAAAAATGAGGTCATGGTAAAAAAGCTGCAATGCCCACTTTTTGGGATTTCTATTGTTGGCTGAATTTTAGATATATAATTGGTTGAGTTCATCCAAATCCTTATTAAGAGTTTGATTGTTGCTAATAAATGAGCTCACAACAAACCCAAGTACGAGGATCTTGAATCACCTTTTCTATGTTGATTTTCTTTTTTCTTTTCTAGGTAAGAAAACATGGTTGATTTTTGTAGGAAAAAGCTCCTATAGGTGAAAGGTGCTCCCATGAACGAGATGGGTGAAAGGTGCTCCCATGGTTTTTCAAGGTTCTAAATACCAGCGTATCGACTTGTGCTGGTGCTTTTTTTATGTTGTATTTATTTTTTTTTTTCAAAATTGGTTCAGAGGGGTCGATTTAAGTCCCGACTACCCTCTGAACCATGGTCTAACCCGATACAACCCCTGTAGGGGTGTATCGGGAAGCTCCCGGAATGACACATATCGGCTGATACGGGCTGATACATATCGATACTTTGAACCTTGTAATAGGAGGTTTTAGACAGATGCATGCTTGTAGGACAAAAGAAAGCAAATATGACAAAACAATAGTGTAGTGTGTTTGTTTGGCAAGGTCTTGATTTACAAGAAGATGAATACCTATGGAATCGTTAAATCGATTAGAGAAGCAAGAATGACAATGAAGTGGTGTTTTTGATTAATGATTGTCCGTATGATAGCCTTTCAAAGAAAAGATGACATTAGAAATACTCTCAAGTGGCAAACCTGGAAGATGTGAGGTTATTTATCCACTTTTATAGGAAAGTGGTCACCAAATGTCCAATCCCTAGAATTAAGTTGACCTTTTCTTAATTAGATCAACATTTGGCTCCAAATAATATTTGTATTTATAAGAAAAATGGCAAAATCTATGGTGCATGAACTAAACTAAGAACTAAAAAACTTATAACAATGATGAAGCGATATGTAAGAATTGAATCTTTAACATTATTGAAGTCTTTAATGGTAAATACACCTTGTGAAACATGAACCAATGAAAAGTAAATAGACTATGACTTTTTTAACATGATTGGTTGAAATTTTGATTTAACATACAACAAATATTCGAAATAAGCCTTTGAATTCTTAGGAAATCTCTTTATTGAGGATCAAGCTACTTCCATTACTTGCATTCATTAGGAAGTTAACACAACATCAAGCTAATGTGGTGGGTCTAGAATCCAGATTCTGAACATATCATGATGTCCATATTCAGATGATAGGTTCGTACTTTGTTGTGATCAAATTGAGGCCAGTCATCCAAAGGAATACGGTGCAACATGTGTCAGAGGGTGGGATGGTGGACAAGACTTGAGTTAGTCTATTGACGACGCATTAATGGTGGATACTGACCTCACTCGACACACAAACTGGAAAGACTAGTGAAGAATGGTCTTGTCCTAAGGGTCAGGTCTCTCCGAGGGCAAAAGCCAACCCAAAACTCATGGAAGCAAACTCTCCACTATAGACAGACCAAACTAGATCACCCTCTTTTGGCCCCTGGTCCCAACCAACCTCTTAGATTTTGCCACGTAGCTCCTACTAAGATTTGATTCCCACATACTTGAGATGGGATTTGGAACATGATCCATTAATCAGTCCCATGAATGGTTATCGTCTATCACCCAATAATTAGGCTGATAGAGACACTAATTTATGGTCAAAGTACTAGCCTAATATAATGGTACAATCCTATGCAAGGATTAAAATATCAATATTCTCGGTACCCAGTATTTGTGTGTGTCATATAGTTGATACTCATTCTTATTATTTTAATTTTTATTTTGTAATGATCGACAAGTTGGGGAAGAGGACTAGACCTGTTCGTGGTTATAGGCTCACGGGCTTAAATTCGGGCCAAAAAGCTCGACTCCCAATAAATTCGAGCCGGGCTTGGGTTTTATCAAAATAGCCTGACCCAAACCCGGCTCGACCCGACCTAATATTAGACTTAAAGTGAGTAATGTGATTATGTTCATTTGAATAAATTTTTTGATTTAAGAATGTAAAACTGTGTTTTAAAATATAAAAGAAAGGGGAAAAAAACCATCTTGTAGGCCCGTTGTTCATTTAAATAGGAAAAAAAACTATTTAAATTTTTAATTCTAATTTGAATAGGGAAAATTGTTTTTTTTATTAGGTCAGACTTTGGGCTTTTTATCAGGGCCGGGCCTGGGCCCAAGTTATAGGCCCATTGGTCAGGCTGGGCTCGGGCTCGGGCTCGGGCCTAGCATATTTCCCTTAATGACAAGTGAAAGCCCAACCCAGCCCATGAATAGGTCTAAAGATGACTAACACCTTTTAAATGTTTCAAAAACATGTATTGGTGTAGCCAAGTGCATCTAGGTACATTGGTACAGATTCGATAAGCCATGTATTGGTATTTTAATCCTTGATCCTATGAGGGAATGAGGTTGACAATTTTCCCATCACATTAATGTCCTACTTAGGAATTTCCTCTAGAAGAACCATTAGAGGGATTATGCATGAGAAATTGAGAATGCTCATATGAAGCATATATGGGATAAATTCCATGTCCCGTCCCCCATTGTATAAGCAACTGAAGCAAATACCCATCTATATCGTTTAAACCATGGATGAGAGACTGGAATTGAAATAACCCAAATTAATGCTATACAACTATCTAAATCCGAGCTAGAATTTGAATTAATAGAAAACAGATTGTCAATGAATTTGCAATAAGAAAAATGTCCAGACATCAAATTGCAAGAGATGATTTCCTGATTATCATGATATTAGTATTTGAGAACCATAATTTTTGTTATACTAGCAACTACAAAATAAGCTAATGAAATTTATGGGAGACACTGAACAAAGTTACTATTTGTGTTGTTCCACATTGCCTTCAGAATGATACTCCTTCTAATGCAAACAAAGGATTGGTAGTTGGAAGGGAGGCAAATTACTGGGGGACCAAAATGTTGTAATCTTCAAGACATCCTATTTCCTGTCTGTGCGAAAAAAGGGTCATTATCGAATGTTGGTCCTAACTATCTGGGGTCTTGGGAGTAGACCGAATATGGTCCTAACATTTGAAAATTTTTTCTCAAAGTGGCTGCTCTCTTCCTGTCTAGGCAAAAGATAAAATATAATTCTATTGGAAAGACATTTCTTGGACAAAGGATGCTCATAATTTGCATCCATTTATTCCAGATGGTCCCAATATCTCTTGAATCACCATCGAATCTAGAAGGTCTTCAAAGGATGTGGCTGGTAGAGACAGTCTATGGCATGTAATAACTTTCTCCTTGGTCCTACTGCATTTGCACCCATATCCTTGAGCTTGTTCATGGTTAGATTTACTAACTGAAATTTATCAATATTCCTACTCTGGAATATTTGTATGAACTGCCCCAATCCCAGTGATACAAGCCATCTGCTCAACCCACCAGCTATTGCTAGTTTTCTTTCAAGTCTCAAGGCCCGCATCCTATGATTTTGCAACACACCCCCATCGAGGCAATTGACTGATCCATGAGAAAATGTGGCCCTAGTTGGACAAATCTGCAGAGGAAGGCATGGATCCATAGTAGGTTTTGGGCCTCTTAACAACCCAACTATTTTTGACGATCTATGTGCACTTTGCACTTGCTTGTCACAAATAAGATCTAAAGATGGTGGCTGCTGCATGGTTTCTCCAGCACACTGATTTGGACATTCTGAAACTGTTCTAATGGTGGGCTCTGGTAACTTCTCTTTTATAGGATTTAACTTTGTGGCAAGAGTTCCTCTGTTCATCTGAACATTCACTTTTGGTACCAAGGACAAAGACTTCTTTTCATCCATTGGACAATTTTGAGTATGGGTCTCAGTTGGGACCACTAGTCTGCTTTTAACTGTCCCCTTGGAGTTGACTTGTTTCTTTCTCTGATTCTCATATGCAAATCTGATGGGTGTTGGTAAAGGAGGAACCAGAATGGTAATTCTTTGTTTCTTAACAATCACCCAACTATCTTCATCAAAAAAGTCACTTTCTGCCCCAGTGTTGTCTTCATTTTTGGATACTGCAATCAACTCTCTTCTTTTAGCTTTCACCATTGGGAAAAAAACCTGTTTAATATTTAACAAATATTAGAATGAAACACTCCACTTCTATCAATACATTTTAGAATAAAAATTGAAGTCCAAACTTCATAATCAATTGATCAAAATTAATGAATTGATAAGCCTAAGAGGTTTTCAAGAGAAAAAAAAAAGAAATAGCACATAATGGTCCTACTCAAACAATTTTTATTATGTAGGGAAAATTTGCTAACCTGTAGGGTTTTATCATACTAATTTCAATGCAAAAAAAAAAAGAATAATAGTATAATACATGTGTTAATGGGAAATCAGGAAAAAAATCATCTCTCTTAGGCCATTTAGATGGTGTATACATGGGAATGTCCAACTAGTTAGTGGAAATCCTCAGGGTTGGCCTGAGGTAGAAGATATAAGCAGTGGTTTCTACCAAATCTCTATATTTTCTTTGTCCTTCTTTATCTTGCTTCAAGTTTTCGTAGTTTAAATGCTACTAATCCTACTTACATCTCCTGATAACCGTCATAAAACTTGACATCTGATTTTTTTTTTCTTTTTTAGCCTTAATATATACTTTTCCTTTAATTTTTTTTTATCACTTCCTATGTTTTTTTATAATTTATGTTTGTAGCTGAAATGTATACCTTTATTTAATATTTTATCATTATGTATGTTTTTTGCAAGTTATGTTTTTTATAATGAAATATGTATTATTTTCTGATTTTTAGTTGTATATATATATTTATATTTTTTATCATCTTTATGCCTTTTCGTTCTTTGAAATGTATACATTTTTCATTTTCTATGTTTTTTAGTTGGAATATATATTATTTTTTTAATTTTTTGGTGAATCATATGTTTTTTTTTTTAATTTTTATCGATGTCTATGCTCGTAAATTTCAGGTATATAGGTTGGCCCAACCCAATTTTATCTCAAAGTGGTGGTTTGTTTTCTTAAATTATGGTTGGTTTGAATATGTGGGTTTACACAACCCTGGTCTACCATGTGCAATAATGAGAAGGAAAATTTTGATTTTTAAGGACATGGGTTGACCCCTACTATTTAGAAACTGACTTAAAGTACCCCTAACTTTCTAACAATTGACAAAATCCTCCTACCGTTAGCTCCATTAATGGAAAGGTAGAAATATACTATTTTACCTATCATTCTTCTTTAAATTTTCAAATTAAAGCATTTGAAAAATTTTAAATTAACCAATTTTTACTTTACTCTCCAATATTCTTCAAATTTTGAAATCTGCAAACCCAATCTCTAAGTCCCAACTCTCACTTTTCTCTCCCTCCATACTTTGTTGCATTGAATGAAAGCTACAAATAGATATTTCAAAATTCCAAACCGAATATCTATGTCTCAACTCTTGCTTTCTCTCTCCATTTTCGTGCTTTGTTGCAACAAATGAAAGCTAGACATAGATTTTAGACTCTAGACAAAGGTTTTTTCTTATTTGTTCTTTTACTTGTTTTCTATATTTCCTTATTTTATATATCTCTTTGTAGCTAAGCCACTCTCCAATAGCTATTAATGGTTTTTTGTGGGAACAAAATATCTTTTCTTAGCAAATAGTCAATGAGATATGCCCCTAGAGGAAGCTTTATCTCATCCCAACTTCCTAGTAATAAGAATTGGCCTATTGGATGTGCAAAAGTATTCCATAGGTAAAGAAAGTGCTCAAGTGTCATGGTTATTGGGCAATAATTGGATCTAGGTTTTAGTTTAAACATATGAGCTAATATAAAACCTCATTATTCCAAGCTTCAAAGTTATTGGTCCAAAACCAAATGCAAATGAACACTAATCAGAAATACACCTTATTGACCTCCAAAATAGAAAGTGGAATTTGACCCTTGGTAATCTCTTCAGCCATTGCAGATGGGTATCCTCAAAATAAATTTTCCATAGAAACTTTGGATCATGACAAGCTTGACAAACTTTTATGGGGTCTTAATCAAAAAGGAAACTTCATTGTAGAGCATGGTTTTGAAAACCAAACCGGAAATTCAACAACTTATGACCATTGATTTTTGGGTCAAATGGTCTGACCGTTTGGTCTAAAGTATGCTACGGGCCGGACCTGGAACCATGACTGATTCTCAGGTCAACTTGTCCAACCATCTAGTCTGGTCTGGTTTTCAAAACCATGTTGTGGGGTCTATGTATAAGGTAACCAAGGATGTTTTTAGTAAGTTAAAATATGATCAGGTTGTTCGGCTAGGATGATCCTTGTCCCCTTAAAATTGAAAGATTTTCAGCATTGAAGTGTCTAGTCTTTGGAAAGAAACTTATGTGAATAAAGAAATATGATAATTTTATTCTTCAAAATTGAGAAAAAGAGGTCATGGTAAAAAAGGTGTAATCCCCACTTTTTGGGATTTCTATTGTTGGCTGAGTTTTAGATATATAATTAGTAGAGTTCATCCAAATCCTTATTAAGAGTTTGATTGTTGCTAATAAATAAGCTCACAACAAACCCAAGTACGAGGATCTTGAATCACCTTTTCTATGTTGGTTTTCTTTTTTTCTTTTCTAGGTAAGAAAACATGGTTGATTTTTGTAGAAAAGCTCCTATGAGTGAAAGGTGCAGCGAGACATTGATATACAAACCATCAATAGTTTTTCAAGGTTCTAAATACCGGCGTATCGGCCTGTGTTGGTGTTTTTTTTGTTTTATTTATTTTTTTTTTCAAAATCGGTTCAGAGGGGTCGGTTTAAGTCCCGACTACCCTCTGAACCATGGTCTGACCTGATACAACCCTTGTAGCGGTGTATCGGGAAGCTCCTGGCATGACACATATCGGCTGATACGGGCTGATACGTACCGATACTTTGAACCTTGCAATAGGAGATTTTAGACAGATGCATGCTTGTAGGACAAAAGAAAGCGAATATGGCAAAACAATAATGTAGTGTGTTTGTTTGGCAAGGTCTTGATTTACAAGAAGATGAACACCTATGGAATCGTTAAATCGATTAGAGAAGCAAGAATGACAATGAAGTGGAGGTTTTGATTAATGATTTTCTGTATGATAGCCTTTCAAAGAAAAGATGACATGAGAAATACTCTCAAGTGGCAAACCTGGAAGATGTGAGGTTATTTATCCACTTTTATTGGAAAGTGGTCACCAAATGTCCAATCCCTAGAATTAAGCTGACCTTTGCTTAATTAGATCAACATTTAGTTCCAAATAATATTTGCATTTATTAGAAAAAATGGCAAAATCTATGGTACATGAATTAAACCATGAACTGAAAAACTTAAACCAATGATGAAACAATATGTAAGAATTGAATCTTTTAACATTGTTGAAGTCTTTAATGGTAAATACACCATGTGAAATATGAACCAAAGAAAAATAAATATACCATGTGACTTCTTTAGCATTATTGGTTGAAATTTTGATTTAACATATAACAAATATTCATAATGTGCCTTTGAATTCTTAGGAAATCTCTCTATTGAGGATCAAACTACTTCCATTATTTGCATTCATTAGGAAATTAACACAACATCAAGCTAATGGTCTAAAATCTAGATTCTGAACATATCATGATGTCCATATCAAGATGATAGGGCAGTAGACCGAATCGAGGCCAGTCATCCAAAGGAATATGGTGCAACACGTGTTAGAGGATGGGACGATGGACTAGATTCGAGTTAGTATGCTCACTTGGCACGCGAACTGGGTAAAAAGGCCAAAAGATGAACTGCTACGCGCTCATAGGCTCACTTGTACAAGAAACCCCGAATGCGTGATGAACCGGACAAGGTCTGCCAGGCTGGGGAGACCGTCTGGCGTGAAGTTGGTGATGCACAATTATGACCCGGTGAAACCGCACCATGGCGAGACCTATTATTGGTTAAACCAAGATGGCGTGCAAGATTAAGAGGGATAATTTGGGAAAGACCATGTATTTGAAAAGACCCCGGGGAAGGGATAGGTATAATGAAGACACTAAAGCTGACTCTCCCCTCCACCATGTACAAGGGGACAAAGGGAAGGGAAGGTTGGGGCAGCTATAAATACCCCCCTTGGGAAGTCATTAAGGTTGACACAGAGGTAATAGTTGGAGAGAATTAATAGCAGAAGAAAGACTAGTGAAGAAGGGTCTCATCCTAAGGGTTAGGTTTTTCCGAGGGTGAACGCCAACCCAAAACTCAGTTCCACGCTCATGGGATTCATGGAAGCAAACTCTCCACTATAGACGGAACAAAATGGATCGCCCTCTTTTGGCCCTTGGTCCCAACCGGCCTCTTAGATTTTGCTAAGTAGCTCCTACCAGGATTTTAGTCCCATGAGTTGTTATCAGTTAACACCCAATAATTAGGCCGATAGAGAAACTAATTTATGGTCAAAGTACTAGCTTAATATAATGGTAGAATCCTATGCAAGGATTAAAATATCAATATGCTCGGTACCCAGTATTTGTGTATATCATATAGTCGATACTCATTCTTATTTTTTTTAATTTTTATTTTGTAATGATCAACAGGTTAGGGAAGAGTATTGTCACCTTCTAAATGTTTCAAAAACGTGTATTGGTGTATCCAAGTGCATCTAGGTACACTAGTACTGATTCGATAAACCGTGTATTGATATTTTAATCCTTGATCCTATGAGGGAATGAAGTTGACAAATTTTCCATCACATTAATGTCGCCCTTAGGAATTTACTCTAGAAGAACCATTAGAGGGATTATGTATGAGAAATTAATAATGCTCATAGGAAGCAAATATGGGATAAATTCCATGTCCCTTCCTCCACTATATAAGCAGCTAAAGCAAATACCCATATATATCGTTTGAGCCATGGATGAGAGCCTGGAATGGAAATAACCCAAATTCCATTATGATAGAACATATTGAATTTGACTTGTTAGAAAACAGATTGTCAATGATTTTGCAATAAAAAAATGTCCAAACATCAGACTGCAAGAGGTGATTTCCTGATTATCATGATATCAGTATTTGAGAACAATAATTTTTGTTATACTAGCAACTACAAAATAAGCT